TAATGTCTCTTTTGTTGACAACGACCAACTTAGTGTATCATTTTTGTAATTTTGCCAGAGATTGTTTGACACTTTCCTCAGAGTTATATGATTCGTTTGAATATTATAGTAGGAAAGGCGTTCTAAAAAAATAGTAATAAATTCTAATTTATAATAGTAATAATCTATACCATAATAATTTTTAACTTCTAACATAGTAGTACTAAATATTATTTCATAAGGCTATCAATTTTAAATCATACCATAATAATATCCAACTTCTAACATAATAGTAATAAATTATAATTTATAACATAATCAGTTTTAATCTACAATACAATAATTTCTAACCTCTAACAAAATAGCAATAAATTCTATTTCATAAGACAATCAATTCTAATCTATAATACAATAATTTCTAACCTCTAACATATTATAATAAATTCTAATTTATAAGATAATCAATTCTAATATATAACATAATAATTTGTGTTAATATAATTTTTTTTCAAACTAGTATCTAATTTATAATAATATAACTTATACTAATTATACTAATATAAACACAGCTGAATATCACAATATATCAATAACATAATGAATGTCATCAATCACAAACATAATATACCATAACAATTTCCAACTTCTAACATAATAGTAATAAATTCTAATTTATAACATAACCAATTCTAATCTATAATACAATAATTTCTAACCTCTAACAAAATAGCAATAAATTCTAACCTATAAGACAATAAATTCTAATCTATAATACAATAATTTCTAACCTCTAACATATTAGTAATAAATTCTAATTTACAAGATAATCAATTCTAATATATCACATAATAATTTATACTAATATATTTTTTTTCAAACAAGTATCATTTCTAATTTATAATAATATAACTTATACTAATTATACTAATATCATTTTTTTAACTGTATATGTTGTTAGTTCATTTTATCCTCAACAAGTGCATAACAAACATAACCCGAAATTAACGTATAAACACGACCGAATATCATAATATATCAATAACGTAATGAAATGACAAACATAATATACCCTAAACCCTAAACCCTAAACCCCTAAACCCTATACGTTAATTTCGGGTTATGTTTGTTATGCACTTGTTGAGGATAAAATGAACTAACAACATATACATTTAAAAAAATGATATTAGTATAATTAGTATAAGTTATATTATTATAAATTAGAAATGATACTTGTTTGAGAAAATTATATTAGTATAAATTATTATGTTGTGTATTAGAATTGATTCTTAAAATTTATTACTAATATATTAGAAGTTAGAAATTATTGTATTATAGATTAGAATTTATTGTCTTATGAATTAGAATTTATTGCTATTTTGTTAGAGGTTAGAAATTATTGTATTATAGATTAAAACTGATTATGTTATAAATTATAATTTATTACTATTATGTTAGAAGTTGGATATTATTATGATATAGTTTAGAATTGATAGTCTTATGAAATAATATTTAGTACTACTATGTTAGAAATTAGAAATTATTACGGTATAGATTATTACTATTATAAATTAGAATTTATTACTATTTTGTTAGAACGCTTTTCCTACTATAATATTCACACGAATCATATAACTCTGAGAAAAGTGTCAAACAATCTCTTGTCATAAAATTCGGTCAAATCATATTGAATTAATCGGTCTCAAAGAATTACTCTAACAAAATCTGATATTTTTCGTTCAATTTGTTATTTAAATTGGTATTTATGAATTTCAAATTTAAGTCAAAATATTATTTTGTATTTTAAAATTTATTACCGAGTTGAAAAGGAGCGGATTTAAGAAAGAAAGAGAACTACAATTTTTAATAGCATCACTCATTAGTATTTTATTAGAGATAATTAGTATTATGGTATATAATATAATAATTAATGAGTTCTAACATAATAATAATAAAATTCCATAAGATAATTAGTTATAATTTATACTTTAACAATTTCTAAATTCTAACTATGAGATGTTAAATTCTAATTTATAACATAAATCTAAATTCTAATATAATGTATATAATTAAAAATTTGATAAAAAAAAAAAAAATTGGCCGGCCGGCCGG